TAGATATTAATTAAATTATAAATATATCAATTCATGTGAATATGACTGAAAATTTTTAATTTTTTCTCAAAAGGTGGTGTCTATTTACTTGTGACCAAGCTGTGTATAAATATTATCAACTAAACACGTCTATAACATGCAATATGAATTTAATTTTACTAACATAAAAAAAACCAAATTTTGAAACATTTTCCACTTAGTTCTAAACGAACAGGATACTTCCAACTTTGAATTATGTTAACCTTGCTCAGAGAAACTCTCTCGTATGTTTGGAGGTTTATAATCAGCAACGCTAGTTCTAGGTCAGAAACAAGAAACACATTTTTGCAATAATTCTTATTATTATCATTTGCTTGTAGCTGCTCCATCTAGGAAATTAGCTATGCCATGCCCGTTTGTCCTCTAGCTGAACTGCAATCTCTCTGGGACATTTTTGACCCATTTTCTCCACTGTCGACCTCTCATTCTACAGTTTTCCACCTTGCCCTCTATCAAAGTTCTTTGAATCTTATTTATCCTGTAACAAATTTATTAATATATATTTATTTTAATATCAACGTTTGTTTAGATTAAGTTTATATTTAAAAACATACATAGCTTATAGTGTTAAATATGTATTGCAAAACTCCCGTCTATTCTCCAAAGTTGTAGAAGATTCTCGAAAGTAAGAATCAACAATATATGTGTGTACGTAAACGCTTGTGTTAGTGTCAGTATTGTTACATAAAACTGAAATTTCTAAAACGTCTCCACTCGCCTATAAATATAATCAACGCGACGCGCTAAAAAAGAGTATCTATTATTAGTTTGCTATAGTCAGTGTGCTATAATCTTCGGGAGCTATAACTGTGATTGTTATAACGCTTAGCATTCGGAAAACTTCAAATATTTGACCAGGAGCATTTACAAAGTTCGAACATTACAAGTCACTTAACTTCAGTGGATTCTCATTGGACATTAGTATTTTTACAACAAACATTACACAACGTCACGGGGGAAAAACTCGGCGTGTGTGGTTGGTAAATAATCTACTACCATCTTCAGGAAAATCCCAAGAAGGACTGTCCCTGAATTGATAGTGGCTATGTTGTCGTTTAAGCAATCAGAGGTTATTAACTTCTAAGATCAATAAAAAATAGAAGTTAAAAAAGGTAGAATATATTAGTTATAAATAGTTATATATAGTAGTTATAAAATCTACCAATTAAAGGTATTGTGTTAAATATTTGTGATATTTATTAGAAAATTATCCAGAAGTGAGCAAGAGAAAACGATATCATTATATATGCGTGTATTATGTTTCCTTTTTATCAAACTTGTTGTGTTTCATGATTATACGTATTGTGTTATTTTTGTTTAGTTTCTAATGTTGATAAAAAATAACAGTACAAAATGTATTATCAGTATGCAAACACAAGTTTTATTTCGACTGCTATTCTAAAAATAATAGAAGTAACATACATGCATTTCTCTTCAATCCATACTATTAAGCTCCTTACTAATCAGGTTAATTTAGAATTTTCGAAATTCTGAGCTTCACCGAAATGTGGATTACCAAGACTAAAACAAATAAATAATTTTATATGAGTTTTAATTTACTTTTACATTAAAAAATTGTTCTTAAAATAATGAAAGTTTTCTTTACTGGTTCTGGTCTACATCTCGGCGCCGTCTGCCTGGACCTCCAGCAAAGTTAGCTGCTGCCAGACCCATGAGGTGCTTAGCTGCTTGACTTCCAGAGAAGCCACGAGACAAACCCAGGTCAAGACCTCGCTTTTCACTGAATTAAAATACAACAGAACAAGTTTTAAGATACTTTGTAGTCATATCTATAAATTGTTTTATCATGTAGTTAGTTATCTTAAGTAAAAAATAGAATAAGAAAAAAAAACTGACCATTTAGTTTTCTTGTTGCTTAATTGTTATTTTACATAAAATAGATGTTATATTTTTAGTTTTATCATAAATTGTTAAAAGATCGGTAAATCAGCACTAGTTTCTCAACCAATGTTTCTATAAACGCAAGTTTCTCTTCTTTACTCGTTTGTAAATACTTTGATAGTTCACATTTGATCTTTTTTTCACTGCTAAAATCATTAAACTATTGAACTATTGACTCCAAAGGCTAAAGCTTGGTCTTAGATTGATCTAATATAAACTTGGCTGAGAAAAAAAAACTCACTCAAATAAGCTTGAAAAATACTACTAGCCAACGCCTAACACATCAACTATATCCCCAAAACCTGGCAAAAAGAAACGTTTCAAACGAAAGTTACACTTACCTGGACATTTCATTTCCTTTCAGTAAGTTTGACCGTAGGTCAGCCAAAATATCCAGAACTTCGGAAGGGTTATCATTATTGACGAAAGAACGACGGGATCTGATAAACAATAATCAGATAAAACTTAGATCAGAGTAAATGTGCTTAACAGGGCCAATTAAAATTTGTGTAGGTGAAAATCATTAATGTGTATAGATTGTGTTTATAGGGAACACAGTCTGTTGTTCAATATTCAGTATTAATTTTTCAGACACAAGAAATCCGCTTACTTTGGTTAACAAGAGTTGACCAAGTCTCCTTTCTCATGTTCAGAACACAAATCTAACATGACAAGTTTTGGTAAAAAAAAGTATTTAAATTTTCAAACGAATAACATTCATTGATAAAAAAATCCAAAAAATAAAACATTTGAAACAGATTTTCACATTTCATGTTTTAATAGACACCATTGAAAAGTAATTTTCTATTATTATATTTCATACAATAAAGACTTTCTACATTATTGCTGATATCTTCGGTAATGATATTCAACATTTTAGAGAAATTCAGACAGTAGCTATTTTACAACTTGATAATTTTCCAACTGTAAACATCACAGTGTAGTCATATATCCAAAAGTAACCTTTCATTTGCCTGATGATCTCTTAAAAGAATCTCCCATGAACTGAATAAAACGATCAGTAATAACTTTCCACAAACTGGAATAGTGTTCCTTACAATCGCGTCTCAATGATACGATTCGTACACATATCTGTCAATAATATCTCTTCAGTTTGGTTAAGTTTTCGATAACAACCTTCCATAAACTGTAAGACATTTCTGACAAAATCCTTCAAAAAAAAACAAACAAAAAAACACACCAGAATTTCTGACAGTAATCTTCCATTATCTTTGTAACTTTCCCAACGATAACCTTCGAACAGTTGAATAGTGTTCTAGGCAATAACTTATGAATTACGTTTAGTCACTGTAAAATAAAATAAAACTGTATGCTAGAAACACAGAAACTATTCAACCCAATGTTTACCTAGACGTGTACTCAGGCTAAAAAAAATATAGTGATCGCTTAGATATATATATATATATAGTTTTCGGGGTCATCTTCTATAAGATTCAACACCATAAATATCTAATGACTGATAAGTACAGTGGCAGACAACTAATTCAGAAATTGAAAGATGTTGAAAAATAACTGCTAGTGGTATAGCATGAGATGTTATGTGCCAACTTTGTGACAACATCAATGAATCATTCAAAGTTGTGCCTTTCAACAATTAATATACATCAAAAGTGTTAATGGAAAAGGTGTACACAATAAGAAACGAAACATTTTAAACCACAAATTACCAAAGTCTCTCTACATCAACAGCAATTATATTAATAAATGCAAGTAAGGTAAATGTCCTTAAAATATATGGGAACAGTAACAAACAACGAGATGAAAGTACTGCCCAGATGTGACTAATACGTATATGTGGTTTCACTGTGAATATCGTTTGTTACTCTCGTCTTTTGCAAGACGTCAGTGTGTAAATGTGTCTGTACTCAGCATCTGCTGACATAAATTGCCTTGTGTAAATGTGTCTGTACTCAGCATCTGCTGACATAAATTGCCTTGTGTAAATGTGTCTGTACTCAGCATCTGCTGACATAGAATTGCCTTGTGTAAATGTGTCTGTACTCAGCATCTGCTGACATAAATTGCCTTGTGTAAATGTGTCTGTACTCAGCATCTGCTGACATAAATTGCCTATGTCTGATGTAGATAATGACATTCTCCGTATAATCTGCCTGGTCATTCTGGCGAAACTATTCACACAAAACTCAATATTGTGTCATTATTTAGATTTGGGAACAGCTGTTATCTTTATTTTATTTCAATACTTTTTGACCTTTTGAACCCTTCGAGAGCAATGATCTACATTTACCTTACCTAGGTTTGTGTAACAACGTTGGCTGTGGTCGGATCTCGACTTTCAATGGCACAACTTCATATGCATGGAAGGAAGGCATTTATGCTTGTAATTGTTGTTCTTGAGGAGTGATTTTGGTAAGTGTTTGTTTAGAATGCTTCAGTTATTATTGTATACACCTTTGTAAGTTTCATGTTGGATGCATGATAAATATTAATGGCATTTGTGAAGGAGATGACTTTAATAATCTTGTTACATGCTGAGCTCACAATATCTAATTTCATACCACTAACAATTATTTTCCTATGCTTCTCAATTTCTGAATTATATAATGTGCTCCCACACTAATCAGTTCGTACAAACACTCCTATTAAGTTTGACTTACGTACACCGAACTAAAATTTTGAATATACAGCATTTCTTTCATTCAATACCCGTACAAGCTGCTTAAGGAAGTTTTTAATCGTATATTACCGTAGGCTAAACTGAGCTTGATATTTTCGATTGAATTGGTTGTTAAAATGTTTAAATTTATCATAAACGAACCAAAAATAGTCTTCTGTAGTACATAACAAATATGTCACAAACGAACCAAAAACAGTCTTCTGTATTACATAACAAATATGTCACAAACGAACCAAAAACAGTCTTCTGTAGTACATAACAAATATGTCACAAACGAACCAAAAACAGTCTTCTGTATTACATAACAAATATGTCATAAACGAGCCCAAAACGGTCTTCTGTATTACATACCAAATATATCACAAACGAACCAAAAACAGTCTTCTGTAGTACATAAAAAAAGAAGACTGTTTTTGGTTCGTTTATGACATACAACCAAAAGCTAGGTCGCTTTCATTTAAAAGTTTCCACATATTTTAAACAAATTTGTTAAAAATACGCTTGGCAGTAACTAAGCTTTTACCATGTTTATCATAATATGCTATTATATAACAAATTAGCTTTGTACAACAAATTATAATAACTATTTGATAGCTTATCAGGTACGACTAATCACATTTCTTAATTTCATACGGTGTTTCATGCTGTTGGATTAGCGACCCTTCGTGCTGTTTTAAGTTGATACTCTTACATTATGAGCCAATTTAGTTTCCTTGCTCAATTTTAATACTTACCCTTAAAACCTTCCTTATCTCAAATGTATTTTCTATTTTAACTGAAACTTTCAATAAAGTCATTAAATATAAACCTACAGATAACCTCGATAGAAGTAGGACTCGTACGGTGACAAGCAATGATGAGAGCAATGTGCTGTGTTGTTGTAAGCAGCATAGCGGTTTTGACGAACCTTTTATTCGTCAATGAAACAATCCCCAGCTTAGTTTAAAGAACGTAAAAGTTACAATTTAGCATAAGTTTAATGCTATAATTGTTTGAAAGTTTGTAAATATTTTAGGTTTATACACAGTGTCTCTCGAGAAATTAACACAAGACCTCGCTGGAGGTTAACGTGTTATCCAGAACTGAACAGACGATTATGCGTTAGGAGATTGGTTCCCATGACTTTTCGAAAATAAAATATCGTTGTGCTTATTAAAAAGATAAAAACGATATACTTAACTTTTCTGAACTGATTCATTTTAACTGATATATAGAAGTAAACAGTTTACCTTGCATTAGCTCCAGTAGCTCTCACATCGTAGAGACATCGTAGGAGAGTGAAGGAGAAGAGTATCGCTGAGAACAACTTGACCATAATGCCTGACAAGAAAACGTTAGAATTTAAAATATTAGTTTGTTTAGATCATCTGTTGATTGGTTATCAGGGTATTTGAATAAACTGTATAGAATTACACGGTATTTTACAAGCGAAGAAAACAATCATGTTTTTTGAAGAAACAAACTTTCTTTCAACTTACACAAGTAAAACATTTAAATAACAACTTATACTTACGATGCTAAAATTAGTATTAAACAATTTGTTTAGATATTATGAACAATATACTGTATGTTTACTATTGCTGATTTTGTATTATTTCATAGTGATAAGTGTAATATCGTGAGGGAAAATATTATATAGATTCTTAGATCGATGTTTGGATATAAAAAAAAGTCATTCTTACATTATTGAAGTGTTTCCAAAGCACAGCGTTTGTTTTATGTAATTCCAATCTGTTACCGCTTAACGATCACTATCCCTAATACAAATTCTAGTCCACTTATTAAAACGTAACATGCTTTACACAAAGTAGTGTCCTAAAATATATTATTGTTTCAAAAGTTTCTGCCACAATGAGTTTTTGTTTTCAAGTATATCTTAGAATATGGTCTAAATTTGATAAAGACATAAGATAAAAAGAAACTTCTTGTCGATTCAAAGTTTGAACAAAAACAATAAGAAAAAATCATTAGACAATGGAAAGAAATTTTCTATTGTCACTTTTTGCTTTACCTATATGCACTACGGTCAGTTCTTAGTATTTTGGACACAATGATCAGATAGACAGACAGGGCTGGCACAAATTGAACTTGGGTATAAACTTATAGGTTACTGCAATTGACATAGTTTTGCTCCTCTGCTTAGTAACAAACAAACAAAGAGAGTAATACACCTTCATTTTATGTTACAGTAAGTTCATGTTGTGATATATATATTCATATTCCAAATTTCGTAAGATAAGTTAAATATATACAGCTTTCAGACTAAGTGCCAAGTGAAATGAACTTCACCGAAAATCTGGTGATCAGTACGTTTGGTGATCAATACGTTTGGCGATCAGTACGTTTGTAAATATTGTTACTTACCCTTTGTTACGATGTGTTATCATTTATATTTATTTACTGTCTTGAACACGTTTGTTACTGAATAGTTGTATTCTTATAAAATCTGAAATTAATTTTCAGCTTCATAGCCCAGTCAATCGAAGGGCTACAACGTACTAACTGAAAATAGCATTGTCATTAACGTAATTACTTATTCTGTTGCTGCTAACAAACATCAAGTTATCTCTTCGGTACAGAAATGTTTCTAAACTCGCTTGAAATGATCTAATCATCTTTGTTTTCATTACTACCTATTATTTTCTAATCACGTGCTCTAGGGAGTCCAGTACTTTATGTATCTTACAGCTGCCTAGCGGTGTAATTAACCGCATGAGAACGCACTAATGCGAATAGGTTATGAAAAGGAGACTCGAACGCAATTATATATGTCTTTGTCAATATGTATGTATATGTAGGTGAATAATTCCCAGGAAAAAAAGACCACGTAGTTAAGGTTATCTATATAAACACGCCACTGGTATTTTACACTGTGTAAATTTAACAATGAAACATTATACTTGTAAAATGTTTGAAATAATAATAATGATTACGCTGCATATGAATTGAAATTAAAATAAAATAACTTATAACACATAAAAATAAAAGAGACACAAACCAGACGCTTAATCAGATTTACAATAAGTAATAAAAACAACATTAATTATACTTAGAAACATCGGGATGATCCAAGAAGAAAGTATTATATAGAGATAAGTCGTCTTTCTTCCAAAACAATACATTCTGATAACTTAGGAAAATGTTTGTTTATTTTTGATGAAGAAAAGTCTTTTTAATTGTGTCAAACTTGTAATACTTAATATGTTTCTTTCAGAGAAACTTTGCTTTAATGAAGAATAATTGTCACTAGCTGATTCATGGTCTTAAACAGCCATAAACTAGCTAGTGGTCATGAGAAAGAATAAACTTTATAATTTACAAACTTACTCAAAATATGCATGTCTTTACATGTATTTACTTAGAAATATTAAAATCTCTTTATTTTCACATTTACAACTCCTTATAAATGGCGAGAGCTTATTTGTTCAATGAAAAACGTCAGAGTAACTAAATATTTTTATTCTAAACAGAACAGATAACAGTAAATAATTAAAGTATAAGTTATTAAAATTGTCGTTAAAATGAAAATACATTATAATATAGATATAACCAAGTGAAATTATTAATTAGGAAATAGCATTTTTTTGAATAACTTGAAGTTGAAACATTTTTTTTAGTATTACTGGAATAGTTTGTTAAAGTGTCATATTGAGGTTTCCATGAATTAAGTGTGAAGAGATCTCAGTTTGTTCAAGTTTGTGGTTAACTAAATATGTTCAGAAGTGCAGTAAGTTAAAAGAAATAAGTTTATTTCAATGTGCTGTAAGCAAAAGTAAATAATTAATGGAAGTTCAGTTTTTTCAAGTATGTCTGGTGAAAGAAATATAATATATCTAAATATGGAGTGAGCTAGAAAAGTTCATTTTATTCTAAGGAAAACATCATTATATTTATTAATGTGCAGAGTGTTAGTTAATATTTTGTTGCGTGCTGTTTGGTAAGAATAAATAATTTATTCCAAGTTGATAATTTGAAGAAAATTAATTAGTTCAAGTACAATAAGATTAAGCAGATAAATTAATTGCAATGTGCTAATTTAAAGTGCGATGTTATTGATAATAAATGTATGATGACTTAAAGTAAATTAAGTATTTGGTGAGATAAACTGGATCAACTTACTAAAGCATGTGTTCAAGTAACACACATTTATTTAACAGTGCAATAGTATAGCGAAAAGCTTTCTTCAAATACATGAACCCGAATACCAAGTTTTTATTAAAGGCTAAATTAATATAATTTTCCAGCACATTACTCATTGACTATTATATAGAAAGAAGATTTGAAATTGAAATCAACATATCAGACAAGAAGCGTTTAAACGAGAACATCTGTATTTATTGACATGATTTTTGATGATATGGTTACCCATTAGATTTTATACAACTATTTTACTATTAGTGCGATAATTAGAATACCATACTATTAAACCTACTTCTAATAACTTTGTGAATGTTTTACCTCGTGTATCTCAGTGATGTTTACAAAATTATTTGTTTGTTTTCGAATATTAGAGTATTGTAGTTTACTTAGAGTGAATGACAATAATTATCACCAAATTTAGAGTTTTTCATTTTCTATTACCTTTATTATAGATTCACAATTTTAATGACACCTTGGTTGATTTACGCAGCACCTATCCTTCGATTTTTTACCCATTATAGAGTAGCGTATGATGGAAAGAGTGATGCGGATACTGAAGTCATCCTATTTGTTTAATAAATAGTGTGAGTTAAGAAGGTTTGGAAACTTATGTTGATAGAATTCTTCATTCTGTTTACAAAAAGATTAAATAACAGCAATAAATTTGGTTAAAATGATTTGCCTTAGAAATGTTATTAATATGGAAACATTACAGAAGACTTGTGACACCTTATACCAATTTGGTTCGTTTGGTTTTTGCAACGTATTTAGAAATATAAGTTCTACCGGATACATTTGATGAAAATAATAAATCAAAGGAATTTGAAGCATAATGATGAGATATTGCTCAGCACTCAAAATATGAGTACAATCATTGTAACTTTGGACTCTAGTATACTAATATATAGAATATTGTTTGGTAGAGTATCCGACTGGACATTGCATAAATGATTATTATATATTTTATTAAGAAGAATGCAGGCTGAGAAATAAAACTTGGAATTTGAAAAGCTAAAACCTCAACATATTTGTTGAGTTATAAGTGCAAACATGTAAACATTTCTCTGCCTTAAGATACTAGTAGATTGTGGAAAAAACTGTTTTAAATTACAACATTGCTAAAGTTTAAATTTACACTTCAGAGAAATAACAATCTAATTGTAACATTGTTTGATGACATAGCCTTAAGATACTAGTAGATTGGGAAAAAAATGTAACATTCTTTGATGACATAGCCTTAAGATACTAGTAGATTGTGGAAAAAAAACTGTTTTAAATCAAACCATTGTTAAAGTTTAAATTTACACGTCTATGTCATCAAAGAATGTTACATATTTTCCCCAATCTATTAGTATTTTAAGGCTATGTCACCAAATAATGTTACAATTAAATTGTTATTTCTCTTATAATATCTGTTATAGTAAACTTACATGATTTGGCGCATTAATAAAATGTTAATATGTTCGGTACTTAGAATTATTTGCTACATTATAAAACCATTATTTTCCTCTGCTGTTCTGTTTAACTACTTTATCGTTTAGAATAACAAACACTTTAATGTCACCATCATCACTGACATCACCAAAATGGTTAGTAACGAAGAAGTAGACTTTACATTAATTTAGTGCAAGCACAGTTGCTAGGAACATTAGAGGTGTCTAATTTCATGGAATCAGGAGTATGTAAAACATAAGATATTTCAAACGTACTATAATTAATACAACGCTATAGATCAAATTAATAGATACGTCAACCATGCTCTAGCTGGTTTGAAGCACCTGATATTCAATAGTAGAATTATATGAAACCATCATTTGGATAACTGCTATATAGCGACTAATAACTTGTGTCCTAAATGTAATATCGTGGCTCATGCAAGTAATGAAAGAGACATAATACATAACATAGTATAATTTCTCAATACATAATGTCTGCGATCCTTACGATTTTTAGAAGTAAGTTTTTTGTGGATCATTTTGGCGCTTGAGATAAAACTATTAAATGAATAATAATGGTTGGAGACTGCTTGAATGAGTAATGAAGAAAAACTTTAATATAAGTTTAAGATAACAGCAAATGTACAACGTTTCGACAAGGTTTCGATCTGATGATGACAAAACCTTGTCCATTTGCTGTTATGTTAAACTTATATTAAAGTTTTTCTTCATTACCCATTCAAGCCGTCTCCAATCATTATTAGTCTCAAAGTGGGTTCCTCATTATCGAACTATTAAATGAATGTTCGGATGAAATATCCATAAGGTCTTAGTGTGAACAAGATAGGCCCAATTCAGTTACTAAAAAACAGAAGAAAAATCAACAACATTTGTTCATTGTAAATCAAAGTTGTGTCAAAAACCACGAGCAAAAGATATTTAAGAACTTTTGCAGACGATATTAATGAAATTCATCCTAAATTTGCAATCCCATAACATCAAACGAGGTTAAATATAAGATGTGGTTTATCCTCAGCGCAGTATGGTTCCTATTGCCACAGAAACCTTAAACAGAGCCATACATTTTTACCTATTCCAGTCTTGGTTCATATTTCAATATATATATTAGTATTCAATTTGTGATTTAAAATCTCATTTTTTACACATATATATTTATATTTCATGTGTACTTGATGTGTGTTGTAGAAATTGTGTGTATATTATGTATATGTGTGTGTATGTTTATATATTTTCATAGAATACGTTTTTATTTTTATTTTCTTGAAAATGCAGCATGAATGTGCAAACTATTTAAAAACAACAACAGAGAGAGGAAACGTAAGATTAAAGTTATGTGGGTATTTTCAGTCTATGTTTGATTACTGTATCAATGATCGTAAATTAAAACGATCTTACAAGTGTTTATACTAAACCAGAAAAGTAAAGGTTTCAATCTAATCTGTTGTTTAACTGTTATATCTTAATATGCATATTTGTTACCCACTTTATGAACCTACATCAATATTTGAGGTCTTAAGGATGTTTGGCATAATATGGACGTTTATTCTTAGTAGCACTGATTGGTCTGTAGTTAGAGAATGGTAAAATATTATCTCTCCAACAAAGCAGTAGAGGTGAGGATTTACTGATTTTGTTTTACATGAATACAACAGTCGTTTTATTTGTGTCATATTGATACTAAATTAACTACAACTAAGAAATAGTTGAAAAAACGCTAAGTGGCAAAAATAACCTTAAAGTTTCGTCAAGAAACATTATATACCACCCAATAATATTATAATTTATAGCCTATAATGTTGCTATATTTTTTTATTACATAAACACAACGTGTAACGTCCTTTTGTACATTATATTATTTAATTAAAAAATATATACCTTATTTATTTGATTCGAACACCTACTAATTACTTTTCTGTTCCGTAAGTATTATAAATACATTTTTAGCATCATTGAAGTGTTTACTGAGTCAACTTATTGACGTTAAATGTCTAATCCAATATAAAACTTTTCATAAAACTAAACACAGAAAATGCTCACACTCAGAGCATCACGAAGATAATATTCAGATAAACATTCAGAGAAATATAAAATGTTAAATTGCTAAGAATAATGTTATAGTATGTAAACAAGAAGGAAATGAAGCGGCGTGCTACACAACTTTAACTTACATAAATAAACTTAGTCTTCCGAAAATTGTTTAATCTCGAAGTCTAAGTTCAAGGGAGGTCCAGTTCAATCTATACTTTGATCAACGTGTGCTATTGGGTTATACTAGTTTCGGAGAATTCTACTCCTCATCAGTAACCCTGAACACAAGTTTACCAAAGAGAGATAAGCTGGACTTATTTCTGCTATTATGCGGCTTTTTCTCCACTTCACCTATCCAGTGTGTAGATTTTTCTCATAGTAACTACAAAGCACGTTCAAACCAACAGTATGTTTGATACTTTTCACCAGGATATAGGTCCAGCTTTTCTCTCTTTGGTTAACTTGTGTTTAGGGTTACTAATGAGAAGTGGAATTCTTCGAGACTAGTATAACCCAATAACACACACTAATCAAAATGTAGATTGAACTGGACCTTCTTTGAACTTATACTTCAAGATTAAAGAATTTTCGGAATACCAAGTTTATTTATTATATCTGCTATTGTACGGCTATATAACGCGAGGAACTGAATAGTGGCCAGTTATACTTCTTCTTCACGTCACCTATCCAATGTATATATTTTTATCATAGTGACTACAAAGCACGTTCATACCAACAGTATGTTTGAACTTTAACAAACAGTTACTTAATCACACTGGATTGAGTAATAAAATTAATGTAGTAGAACTTAGATTAATAAAGTTAAAAAACTAGATATTTCGTCACAACTCTCTACTTAAGTTAAATTTAATTAATTAAATTAATTTTTGTAAGTTTTGTTTTGTAATCAAAAATTCTACTTTCACTTAGAGTTAGGCATCATTTGTCTGACTTTCTAAAACTTTAGAACAATATACCTGATATGGTGAAGTGATACCAGTAGATGTGAGGGTCTCTTGAAGCTCACCAAATAACTAGATGTTTCTCTTGTTTCAAGCGGTTGGTGTTCTGGGCAAAGCAACCTTAGTTTCTGTGGGATAGCGTGTCTCCACTCCTTTTTATATAAATCTCATTTCTTCTCTTCTTGACGCGCCCTTGACGTCATCACTGACGTTTGTATGATTTTACTTCTCATTTGCTGTTAGTATGAAAGTTCACTTATGGAACAGCTCCTATTCGATAGGGTAACTTTTTCTTTTACTCCTACTTTAAAAACTAGACGGAATATCATGGTAAGAAAAAACTGTATAAGTTCCGTTCCCATACGTCGGAATAAATAGCTACTATCTAGTTTTCTGATATAAAATTACCTGATCTGTATTCTGTTTAAACTACTTAATGACAAGAAAATACAGTTTCACTCTCATTCTATTGATATATGTAAAGTACAGTCTAGGTAACTTCTTACTGAAAATATTATATAACTTTATATATGTAAATCATAATTCTAGTAAGTTTTATATGTGTATACCAAATAAATACATTTGTATCTAAAGTACACTTTAGTAAATATGCACTGAGAACAATATATATTTTTAATACTTAAAGGACAATCTATATAAAAGTGCATACATCAAGTACACGTCTAATAACTTTCTAATGAGGAGAATATATAATGTTATGTATATAAAGTACATTTTGTAAAACTTGTCAACTAAATTATTGCATCAGATAAATCACTGGTAGTTTTGTAATGCAGAGAAAATATATCTATACATATTTACTCTACCCCTGCTAACCTTCTTCATAGAGCAGTGTATAACCTAGAGGACGTCAAGTACATAATTAATAATTATACATGTATATATGTAAACTTTTCGCAGCACCTTTCTGAGACAAGTAATACATGTAAGATACAATTCTGGTAACTACCTGCTGAATGATGTAAATTATATATTTTTACAACTTCATACAAATAATATATATATACATATTTAAGGTGAGCTTCTGATAAATTACTTCTGAGAAGTACGATTCCGGTGATTTCTAAAGATAAAAATATATAAATTTATATTCGTAAATTACACATATTGGAAGTTACTGTTAAGAATGACAAATAATTATATACGCGCAGAGAATACTTCTGATAATATGATAGTGGTAAGAATATGTAAATATAGAGGTGCAAAAAATACATACGCCAAGAAAATAAATACTATACGCAACAGAGCAATCATTATTAGTGATATACAAATGAGTTGAGACGGAACACAAGGCCATGTCTGTTCCATGTGGCCACCAGTGGTGTGTCATGTAGCCTCTCTGTGTTGATGGATTTGACAGATGCTATCCAACAATTTGTAGCTCTATTGAATATAGGACAGTTTTATTGAGCAATCACAAATATTCCGTTGGTATGATTTAATAATTAAACCGTATTTGTGCCTTGTCATAGCTATAACATATAAAACCAAGATTATTCCTTAATTGTTTCGAGCAAAGTATATAATCTTGAATACGTAATGCGAACTTATTGTAACCTTATTCTTAGACAAATTAATTTCATTCATGTAAAGTACACAGTGGTAATTTCTCGCGAAAAGAATAGAGAAATATAGACAAGAACTTACGTTCTTATAAAACCCCTTTAGAGAAGAATATGTATAAACTACTTATATCTAATTCACAGAACTACCAACAGATAATAATGTAGAAATATAGACAAGAACTTACATTCTTATAAAACCCCTTTAGAGAAGAATATGTATAAACTACTTATATCTAATTCACAAAACTACCAACAGATAATAATGTAGAAATATAGACAAGAACTTACATTCTTATAAAACCCCTTTAGGGAAGAATATTTATAAACTACTAAAATATCTAATTCACAGAACTACCAACAGATAATAATGTAGAAAACTTCATCTAACTTGCTAATGAAGAATATATGTAACTTTATATATCTCATGTACACTTACTGAAAATTTATTATGAGAAACTTTCCTTACTTTTATATATGCAAAGTTCATTCTCACGGAAAAGAAAAGACAATTTTACATATCTTAGGAACTTATGGCAAGACCTTAAGGAGGAGAATACATAACTTTATATACGTATCACAGTTTTAACTTTAAATATGCGTATCACAGTTTTAGCTTTATATATGCGTATCACAATTTTATCTTTATATATGCGTATCACAGTTGTAGCTTTATATATGCGTATCACAGTTGTAGCTTTATATATGCGTATCACAGTTGTAGCTTTATATATGCGTAATATCCTTTACTTGAACATCCTTCTAAGAAGAACAAGTAACTATACACTTGTCAAATGCATTTCGGTAACCTACTACCTATTACAGTAAATATCATTTTATATATTTAAAGTATCCTTCTGATGACTTTCTAGTGAAAATCATCTGTAACAAGATGTGCCTCAATTACATTTCTGGTATCTTCTCAGTAAGAAGAGTGTACTAAAAACATTTATATATAAATATATACAGTACACTCCTAACAACTTTCTGATGGGAATAATATGTAACTGTATTATTTAAAATAATTATAGTAATTATATATATATATATATACATTGTTTGTTTGAAGTTTAGCACAGAGCTACACAATGGACTATCTGTGCTCTGCCCACCACAGGTATCGAAACCCAGTTTCTAGCGTTGTAAGTCTGCAGACATACCGCTGTGCCACTGTATAACTAACGCCATGAGTGTATAACGTTTGAGCGAGATGGCACTTTGATAAGCACATACACGAATATTGTTTGGCGGCATGACGTTTACCGCTTTGTCGCATTTAGAAAGCACTGATGTAAATATTGGATTTATTTTCTGAAATACACTGGTATAAATACATCTTATTAGTTAAAATAATATTTTACTCACAATATCTCACAAGAAAAAAGTCCAACTATACGACTGTGAAGTGTTCTTATCATAACTTTCAACTCGTAAGAATACGGAACTCTGTAATGAGTTATTCTAATAACTTCTAAATCAGAAGAATGCAATAATATATGAATGAAAAGATATCTTAACACATCAAAATTGTGTAACTATAATATATGAAAAACATATTTTAAGATTTTCATTGAAAACTCTGTATCCACACTACAAGTTTATATCAATGATAATTACGCCAATAGTATTTATTAGAATGCCACTTAGAAACGTTAACGGCTTGAGAGTTACCACGTTATTAAAATACAGCTTGGAAGCCCATTTACATGCAAATTGTATGAAAACACAATTAAAATGTGATCATGAATTATTTATTAATTTGATATGAAGGTAGAAGCAGATACAAGTAGTTTTTCTCTAGATCATCTAGAACATTGGAATTTATTTTCCTTAGAAAAAGGTACATAGTTTTCTACAGTACATTTATCATATTAAATGTTTTTATACTCTTTACATTTAATTCAGTACCACTATTTAGTTTTAGTATACTTCATGAACATTTACGAGCCATTTAATTTAATATAATGTTTTTTTCTCACTTCATCAACTGTTACATCTCTGCAATTTCTTCTTTTATCTCTTCATAATATATACAATAAATACATTGTTCTAATACATTCCAGTTCTCCTGGATCTCGTGTTCTGTCCTTATCCTCATTATGATTTCTACCGTTTTCTTTACAGCTCTGATACATTTTTCCTCTTTAGTCATTTTTATTATTTCTGTATTTCCAACACCCTTCTTATCTCCATAACAACCCTTCTTATCTCCATCCCAGTTATTATTCAAATTGATTTCAATTCAGCTCTATCGAATATATTTTACCATCTTTGTCCCTTCATTCTTCTTACTTCTAAAATATATTCTCAAACTCTCTACATACCCTTTTCTCCATATTCATTCTTCTTGTTTCTAAATGACATTATAATTCAGTTCCACCACATGTGTTTTCTCTGCAACTTCTCCATCTTCTCCTTTTTTTATTCCATCCTCATATTTCTACCACATATATTACCACTGATGTCAAAGATATTACTTTTATACTTAATTTTGTTAATTCCACTTCTCTTTGTTATACTTCACGCTACATTTAAAGCTATCTACATCTTTGCATGTTGTTTTATTAATTGCTTCATTTGTGTATTTCTACTTATAAACCATTATCTCGAACATTTATAATTGTTGTCATCTCTATTTCTAAATTTTTCCATTTTCATATCTAATGTCTTCATCTATTTTCTCCATTTCGAAGTACCATATATGATTTATTTATATTCAGTATCAACGTATATTTATCTGTATAATTTTATAATGTTTTAATACTCCCTTTTAATCATTATTTATCATCTGCACTATAGTTATATCGTCTGGAAACGTCTTCCCACTCCTCTGCCATGTAATTATATATATATTAAACAATTTAGGCTTAATGAACATCCTTACTTACATCTTTCTCGTGTCGAAATTCTTTCCGTATTTCATCTATCATTCCTATATTTTCTATTTCTCTTAAAGATTTCTCAAAATTTCCCATTTCATTTCAATATCCTGAATCTTCCAGAACAAGTTTTGTTTTCTAACTATAATATTAAATGCTGACTCAACCCTTTGACTGCGGCTGCTTTAAGCGCGCGCGGAATTTTTGCGATTCGTAGACTGTATACAGCACACTCGCATTCACCTGCCGGAGGCGGATCGTACTCTATACGGCGAATCAGCAGTCAATGGATTAAAATAACATAACTTCTATTAAGACATTCAAAATAACTACATTTCCCCTTATTGACTTTTCTCTTCTAAAACCTCTGTGATTTTCTGTAATCTTCACATTTTCCTCTAGCTTCTCCTTAACCTATATTCAATAACACACGTTAGAATTTTACACAATGTCTTCAGTAAAGTTATTTCTTTATTTGTTTTAAATTATTCCACTTTCTTCATACATTGTATAAATTCCTCTTTTTTTCTACATTTTGAAACAATAGTACTTTATTATGTTTATTATTTCTAGAATTTTTACTTTTTTCCCACTATTGTTGCTTTATAAAATTAATTTATTTCTTGATTTTCACTAGGATTCCTGTTCTTCTTTGATTTCTTAATTTCTCTATTTA